TTTTTCGACACGCCACGCGCCGTGTCAGGCGGGAAGCCTTGCAGCGCCATCCTCTCGTACGGGTGCAGTGGCCGACTTCTAGCAGATTCTCCCGCAGCGTCCAGCCACAGCAGCCAGACTAGGTCGTTGCCAGATCGGAGAGTGCAGCTCAGGCCATCGGTGCGGAAGTGCCGAAAGCGCACAGCCTATCCCTGCAAACTGCTGCCGCCCGCAAAGACCCGCCAGCAAACTCTGCGAGCGGCTCGGGGGTTTTGCGGAGCAATTCGTCGTGGCCTGTCGAGAGCAAGCGTGCAGTGCCAGCTTCCCGGCGGCCCATGTGTGGGCCCAGCTGATTCACAAGTCATGGCACCAACAGCACATGTCGATTCTGCCGGTTCAGAGTCGCGCCGGTGCGCCGTCGCGAAGTGGGCGTAGGCGCAAATACGGCAATCCTGCCCGCGGATGACAAGCACAACAAAACGCCTAAACAGTCTGCGCTGTCAACATTGCCACCTAAAACCCTTAAAAGCCGCCAGCAAATTGGGGATGCCATGCTTGACTGCTACCCTTGGCCTGAACAGGACTCCTAACAGGACAGCAAACACACCAATGACAGAAACAAAACGTGCGCTAACACAACAACCACGTGGATTTCTTCATCAAGAGAGTGAGCCTCAAACAGCGTTGCCAGTAGACGCCGAATGTTGCTGGAAAGTGTTGTGGCCCACGCCCAACTTGTTGTGAAACTGATTGCAGCTCGTGGACTTGGAGGGGGTGTACCCCGACAAAGCAGGAAAAACACCGCCTCATCCCGCGGAACCTCGAGCGGGCTAGTATGCACCAGTCCTCCCGCAAAGAGGCATACCTGGGCAAAGGGAGAGGGCCCGCGAAGGCAGGTGGATGTGACTGGGCCTTGGGAACCTCGAAGTATCTGCTGCCCCGCCCTTCTCGCTGCGCGGGCTCCAAGAACCTAGGCGAGGTTGCCGCCTGTGGTTGCAGAGGGAGCCGAGAAGCCAAGTTCTGCCGCAACTCAATGTGAGTCAAAAGGCCACGAATTGGGAACCAATGCCGCAAAACCAAAAACGCCTTTGTTGAGATTTCTACCACGACCTAGGTGTGAGATGGAAGCAGTGAGGCTTCTGCAACATGAGCCTTGGAGGGCTTTCAGTTGGCCAATGACTTTCCATCGAAATCTCAAGTCGCGGCTGTCTTGCTCAAATCTGTCCGTTACTCAAACCGAGGGCACCAGCAAAACTCGTGATTTCCTCTCAACTCAAGTCAGGGGAGCCTGATGAATTTATCGTTCTCTTTCTCGAATCAGACCTTGTTCGTGCGAGGCCAGGGCGCCAAGTCTCGCTGCCGGGGACGAGTCGCACCGTGGCATTGCTGACCGCTATGATCACCTTGGACGCTGGGAGCCGGCCAAGGCCACACAAAACTGTTTGGGCGGTGGTCAGCTCCAGACAAATAGCTAGGAGCACCCCTTTCCGAAGGTGTTGCTGCTGACTTCGAACTGCCTGCCGCAAGGAATACTATATTTGCTCTCCAGCAACGCCGGGGCGACAATTACTAGGGCATTTTAGTTTCCCCTGGCTCAACGTTCTTGCGGGCGATGTGTGCCGTCTGAGTGGGGCTGAGACTGACTTTTTGATGGTGAAGGTGAAGGCCGTTGACCTCACAATCCGTCCAAGCAAGTAAGTGGCTTGTGCCCTGGGCTGGCAGTGTTTGCTGGTGCGTGTTAAACAGCACCGGTCGATCCATCGCTGGCGAAAATGCGCATCTCACTGCAAGCTGGGCACCTGAACCCCACCGCGCCGACCACCGTCCACATGGTAGCGCTATGCGGGAACCCTGGAGGCTTGACGCTGACGCCGTCCTCGGCGGAAGTAAACGGTCACTTTTGCTTATTTCATCCCCCGTAATGCACAGGCAGGATTACGAGCAATTCGACCCAAAAGCCGTAAATGACTGCTTTTTGGACAAGGCCGTATGATCAAACAAAAGCTGGGCCGCCTGGAACAGGATGCGCCAAAGCCAGCCGAGCCCCTTGTTCAGGAGCTTTGTCGGGCACATGCCGTGAACCCGAGCCAGTTCGCGGCAGTGCTCTTGCACCGCTATGGAGACGGCGAAGGCAGCCCGATCCCAGACTGTTTCCTTGGCTCACGAGCGCCCAAAAAAGCTCCCTCGGCGTGCTTGCACGCATGGTTGCGTATGCGTGTATAGCCGGATGTGTGCGTTCGAGTGCTTGGGGTAGCGCGCGTGCGCGCGAATGCATCGGTGTGCGTTTTCGGCCGGGCGTGCGTTGGTGTGGGCCTGCGGGCGTGCATGTGTGTGTGTGTGGGCGTGGGTGCGTGTGGGTGTGGGTGTGTGTGTGTGTTCTGCCCTATGCCTCTGTCCCAGTCTCTGTCTCTATTTCTGGCCTGCGCCCGTGCGCGCACGCGCCCTTACATGTAATGGTGATGTGTCTGGTGGCGTGCTGCACGGCAATTCGCTATGTAGCCTGGAGCCGCGCATGGCGCACACAAGCTGCGCAATAGAGCTGGAAGGGGCACCCTGCGCATGCCGAGCTGTGCCACCCCAGGCGGCACTGCGTGCAAGGCCAGTGCGCCGGAGTGCTCCACCAGCACTGTTGCGCCGCCCGCCCTATTTTGGTTAGTGTTGGACCGTCACCTTTGGCGGGCGACACGCCCATCCAGCGGCAAAGCCACAGTGCCATCACCCGCAGCATGACGTTGCCCTGTGGCTTGTCACTCGGCGCAGGCCCATTTCGAGGAGCCTTCCTTCAACTCTCCTGACCACTGCCTGCCCTTTGCCTCTTCTTGTCCACCTTCGTGTCCGCCGTCTTGGCGTCCTTCTTGTCCAGCTTCGTGTCCGCCGTGTCGGCCTCTTTGTCGGCCTCCTTGTCAGCCTTCTTGTCCCCTCTTGTCCGCCGTCTTGCTGTCCTCCTTGTCCACCTTCTTGTCCCCCTTCTTGTCCGCCGTCTTGTCCTTCTTGTCCCCCTTCTTTTCGCAATGTCCATAAAACAGCGCGCCAAACGCGCAAAACACAAAACATTTCGCGTCTCCAGAAACATGTGTTTTATATCGCTGAAGATACCTTCGGGAAGGCATTGTGAATGCAAACCTGCAACCACCCAAACGTGACAATAGCCACACCTCCAACAAAAATGTTTTTTCTGCAAGAGCAACACCAGCACGGCAAAACACGCACCAGCGCGGAAATAATCACACCAGCACGGCGGCAGAAAGCCGAGCACGGAAAAACACGGGTGTTTGGGCACGGGTTTGCACGGGTTTTCACGGGTTTTGCACGCACGGGTCAGCATGGGCAAGCGCAACTCAGTATAGCCCAGTACGGGCTTGCACGGGCATAACAGCACCAGTGCTAAAAAATCAACGCCATCTAGTAAAAAGTGATTTTTCCAAAAAAGAGTGACTGTTAGCCATTTCGAACGTTGCAGGAAACCATATGCAGCATTCAAGAAAGGTTGCAAAGGAAGCCACGAAAAAAAACGAAACCGAGGTGCATGATGACCCACGCTTGCCGATGTTTTAACTAAATGGTGGCAACGAAACAGTCGTGCGCAGGAAGCCCCTTTTGCCGTTGAAAATATGCGAAAGCGCGAGCCGAAACGCACATTCTGGACAGACGGAAAATGATCCGGCGGGTAGTAGTAGTAGTCGTGGTAGGAGTAGTAGTAGTAGTCGTCGTCGTAGTAGTAGTCGTGGTAGGAGTAGTAGTAGTAGTAGTAGTAGTAGTAGTAGTAGTAGTAGTAGTAGTAGTAGAAGTACTAGCACCAGTACTAGTACCAATAGTAGTAGCGGCAGTAGCGGTAGCAGTAGTAGTAGCAGTGGTAGCAATAGCAGCAGCAGCAGCAGCAGCAGCAGCAGCAGCAGTAGTAGTAGTAGTAGTAGTAGTAGCAGCAGCAGCGGTCACTGCTACCCCGCTAGCTGCCCGTTCCTCCACACTATCTTCTCCTCCGGTTCCACTCTACCTTGTTAACTTACTACCTGGCGTACTTAATAACTTGCAAGCTTACTAACTTGCTAACTGGCTAGCTTGCTAACTTGCTGACATATTCTAACTGGGCACCTTCTAGCTTGCCAACTTGCTAACTTATTAACCGCCGTATGCTTACTTACTAACTGTCCTTTGTTCCAGGGTGCGCCGGACCCTAACTTGCGAACTGTCTTCTCCTTCCCATGGTCTGGAACAATTCGTGTTTGATCCCGAATTATTTGTTTGATTGATCCTAAATTAATTTCGTTTTGATGTGTGTACCCTCCCACAATGGCCAAAGCACCCCAACCCACACAAATCGTGTCCCCTGAAAACGATGGCTAACCGGGTTCCTGAGAACGTGCAGTGTGCCTTACCTTCAACTAACGTAGCACATGTGTAAAGATACCTGGATGACACACGTTCCGCTAAAAAGTCCGTTGCGCTAGTGGAAGGGAGGGGAGGGTACAGGGTGACATCCGTTGACCATGGCCCATGCGCGCTCGCTCGCAAAGTTGTGCAACTTGCACACTGGACATACGAGGCCAACACCTTTTGGAACCTGAACTAACAAAGATCTGACATTTGGAACCTCGACTGGATCGATCTTGAACCACAAAGGGGAACAACCAAAGGTCGGATCCGGTCGATTCGCTTTGGAGAACCGAATTACTAATTACCATGTTGTTTTCAGAACTCCGATTGGTAGCTCCTGAACCGCTCCCTCTTTTTATTGCAAATTTGGATACCTTGTCCCAGCTCCAAGTCCGAATCGCTCCCTTCCAACCACCATTTGCTTTTTCGCCCGAAAAAAAGGCACACATCTGTCCAGTGAAATCGATTCCCTTTCAAAACAAAAGGCGGAGAGAAAACAAAATAAGCATCAAGTGCCCGAGCTTTTGGAGTCACCCCAGCCATTTCTGTGGATGTGGTGTTGCTTGAGTGCGGGCTTCATTGCACTGGATTTTACCAACAAATAGTCCAGAAAGCCCCCCCAAACCTGAGCCATCAGACCAAGGCGCGCGGCCAAGCCCCGTATGCCGCGGCTCCGCCCCATGGCTCCAAAGAGAGATTTGGTCACGTGGGGGCGCCTTGCGCTCTGTTGGGGCGGCCAATTTTCCCCAGATTCGATTTAAAGGAAACACTGGACCTCAAACAGAAATCAATCGTTTTGGGCTAGGAAGAAAGCTGGTATGTCATAGGAAATTAATCTAGCACCGGGCATAACATCCAGAGACGCAAGGAAAATAGGTCGCTTGCTACAAACCGATGGTGATATGTGCAGCTGGCTCCACATGTTGGATCACCTCCCCATGCAGCTTCACGCAGGTCTAACCCAGCATCGTCATCCCTAGGTTCATTTGCTCAGATCCCTGGAAACAAAACAAACAAATCCAGTAGTGATGACCAAGAAAGGAAAATTAAATATAATCCTAAGCAAACAGAAGTTTATAGGGGGAGCCCTTGGCATCACAGAACATGGGACACACTCCGAACTCCCGTGCTCCTACGTTCAGACACGATCAGCCTCCCCTTCGCGATTTTCCGCTGCAGGCAATTCCATGGGGACTGGCTGAGCATTGGGGTCAGAGTTTCACCCTGAAGCATGGTGGAACCGCCAAAAGCTGTCGCAAAGCCAAAAGCGGCGGCGTCGTTGAACATTTCAAAGCAGCATTTCGCATTGGATCAGGGACTGTCGTGCAAATGCACTCCACTGGAACTGAAGCTGAAACCTCTTTCATATTGGAACCCAGCCGGTAGTGCCCAAACCTTGCTATGATAGCAAGCAACTGAATGTGTGTGCAGCCCAACTAGTAATAAACAGAACCAACAAAACAAAGTGAAGAAAAGTCGTCCACACAAAGGGTCAAATCCGGTCGTCTAAAGGGCCCCGTGCCACAGGTTCAAGGAAAGACCAACAGAGCCGCATGATTCAAGACTGGACTGCTTTTGGGCACAAGCACTAAAGGAAGCTGCTCACTGATTTTCTACCCGACCCAGTTCTGATCACCGAACCAAGTGAACCAAGTAAGAACGTCGATGATCCAACGCAGGCACCCCTGCCATTGAATTGTTCTCCAAGAACCCTGCAATTGTCAGTGACTGAGAAGCAGGGTTGACATGGCCTGAACAATCCACACCTGCAAGTTGCAAGCAAGCCTTCTATATATTTCATATGATGTATGACATCCCCCAGTTCCTGGCATTCCCTTTATGCCTCACTCAACCCAACATTCATCTGCAAGTCCTACTGTAATCCCTAGACCTGCCTGCTGTTGGGAGGCCTTTTTGGTTTAAAGCAATCAGTTCTCTGCAAGCCCATGACAATGGTTGGAATGTAACCCTGCAAAAAGACTTGGACCCATGAGGGACCTACATGGGTCGCTCGTTGAGATTCATCACTCGCATGCCAGCGCCCTTTGTCCTTTAGGGAGCGTCCCCTGCCCAACGGGCGCAGGATCCCCATCACTTTCGGTGAGTCCTTGTTTCCTCGGCCGCCAAAACAAGGGGAACCCCCAAAGAACCCTGTGTACCCTTCAACTTCCTCGGCCGCAACCAACAAACACTGAACATTGACTCAACATTTATTTACCCCCACAATTTTCGCGGGTTGCTTTTGGTGTGGTGGACAAGGTATGGTTTGAAACGCCCAATTTTTTTGTTATCTGTTGCGGAGCCCTGGCGAACCACCAAAAAAATGGCCACCCCCCACGCCCCGCCACTCGATACGTTGATCCTCAGAACGTGGGCCTCAGGCCGGAAGCTCAGGCTGGAAGCCACGCATCTCCCCCTCCCAAAAAAAAGAGAGTCCTTGTTCAAAGTGACATCCTCAAAGATTGCAACCCGCTTGTTTGATGGTTTTTGCTTAAAGAGAACGTAGCCACCGGGACTCCTATTCTCACTTGCCCCCAGGACCCAGAAATAAAAGGTTGACCTTTTGGGACCTTGACTATGGACCACAACGAAAGCTGAACACTACGGGCTGATGACCAAATTGGTGCCACGGTGCGACATGAGAAGGCCAGCATCCATCCACTAGGCCCGAGGTGAAGGAGTTTTAACCCATTTTTCTACGGATTGATTCCTTCAACCAGCGTTCTTTTCAACCACCAGCTGTTTCTTTCGGCGGTTTCGAACAAGGAGCCCTGAACAGAATGGGGAAGCTTGCCTAGAACACCCTGGAAAATTCTGCGACCGAGACCATTGTTGAAAAGGGGCCCTGGGCTTGGGGGAAAAAAACCAGAAAGCACAGCGAGAGGCGGATGCCTACCGAACCTTGGCTGTGTCAGTTTTGCAGGTGCAAAATTGAAGCAGGTTGGTGCTCTGAGTTATGATAATTCCGGGTGGCCCTTTGGCCCCTTGTTCGTTCACAAAATGAAGAATCCTTTGCACATTTGTGAGGCCAATTGTCTTAATTAATTCCATCCCACAGGTTTCCCAGTTCAATCTGCACGATTTTGCTGAGGTTGGTGAACACACACTTGAGCCCATCCTAACGAAATGATCCTACAAAAGCCATCATCCGGTGGCCCGAACTTGCAGTTGCCTTGGTAAGGTTGCAAGCAAGTTGGGGACGTCTCACACTTGGGGCTGTTCTTGAAGACTATCCCAACTGGCTGCAAACAAATTCATTGTGCCCAATGCTTAATTGCAGGGTCTGCGCTCCCCCCGCTTTTGCGTCCCGTGTTGGCTTGCAGCGGATAAAATAAAGGGGGGAGGGAGTACCCTCAACACATATGTAGATGCAACCACACACATACACGCAATTGATTCTGCCCAAGCCACGCCAAGAACGCCGAGCCCTGGATATACCTTCAATCAAGGAACAAACCTGTAGCGAAGAAACGCCACCCACGCGCGGCCTCCTCACGGCCGTGACATAGGTGTCCTTTTTGGGACAAGTAGATGGCCCTGGTAGATGATGAAACAAACCCTCAGTTGTTCAGTGACCGGAACCCTTTTTGGGAAGACCATTTTAGTGGGGCAGCCACCAAAAACATTAAAACAAAGGGGCCACTGAACAACTCAGAATGAGGGCCCTCCATTTTTGTACCTAGGGCCTTGAGCGCTGGCCCAGACACCCACACGCCGAGGTCTGGGCAAAGAATCCATTCGTAGAGCGTCATGGGTGGGCACTGCTTCAGTCCTGTTGGCTGAAGCATCTGGGAGTGTCCCCCACAAAAAACAACCTGAGGGTGTGTCTTTTTTGGAGAAAAGGGGAAGCCAAAAGAAACCCCAAATCTTTTTTTTGTGTTTAGCCACCCTAAAATGATTGAAATGAACTTGGAGGAGACCCCGGCAGCCGTAGCTGATTGACCCTAACAGTGTAGGCGGAAAGCGTGTCTCCACTTGCCGCTGCGCCGTCTGCGCGGTCTGCGCGGTCTGCGCGGTCTGCGCGGACTGCGCGGTCTGCGCCGCCTGCACCATCTGCACCGTCTGCGCGCTTCGCGCTGTCAGCAAAAGCATGGGCAACTGTAGGGAGCAAACGCGTATGAAAACCCTGCTGCATGCACAACAAAATTGGTGGTCACCGGCGATCCAGGTGGTGCGGATGGTGCGGATGGAGCGGATGGTGCGGATGGTGCGGCAGACGCGGATCCCGCTCGCGATGGATACTAACGTAGCCTGCTTAGGTGATTCTCTGGGTTGTTCAACATGCGGGGGATCCCGAACCCCAAATCCGTGGGACAGCGTTGCGCAACCTCACCTGCCTGCAGCTGTTTTGTTGCGGGGACCTTTTCAGGTGCCCATGCCATACAAGCAGGGGGGGGGGGGGGGCAGGAGCCACAAGCGAGGCTGAAGCCGGGCCCGTGCCGGCTGAGTCCTTCATATTCCAATGAAATCACAGCCCTCACGTGACTAGCGACCATTTTCTTCGGCACATTGGCGTTGTCTGATTCACATGGAATGGGGATCGGATCCCTGTTCCAAATCTGTGAACCTGCAGGGGAAAACGGAGATGCGGAAGCCAACTCCGACTGAAGGGGACCTTCTGGTTGTTCTCCGAAGCGATTCAAGGGTAAACGAAGGGGGCAAGTACGCATATTGAAAGCGGGGTGCCTTTTTCAGAGACTCAGTTCCCCCAATTGGCCAAAAGCAGTCCAAACTTATGGGGTGCCACTAAAATGGTCTCTCCCAAAAACAAGAGGATCTTGATCCCACTTAATTAGTAGCTCAAAATCATTGGGTAGTGAGACAACCCCAGTTGACATAGAGCCTTATCTGGGCTTTGCTGAACTGATTCCACTGGTCCAGCATCCCACTCCTACGCCATCGTCGTAGGCATAGCCTCGCGCGGAATGTTTGGACGGGCTTGGTCCAAAGATGTTCGTGCTTTGCTCTTTTGGAGGCTCGAGCAAACTCGATACATGCAATAGCCCACAAAGCAAGCTTCCTTAAAAGAGACTCTGCTGTAAACATGTGCGATCGCCATATGCGGCCCCCGGTAAACCAAGTTTTACACACCAACCAAAACTGCCGAATGACAACACGGCTGGCTATGCTACGACACTCACCCGCTGTATGGGAAATTCAAGGGGGCTGCAAATTGGACAATGCGGAGGAGCATGCGCACACACACACACACATTCCAACCCTGAAGAGCTCTCACACGCACAGACACAGAAACGCAGCCTGGTTCCATGTTGGGAGGCCTTTCCAAAGCTGAGAAGAATGACGCATTGGTCCGCTCACAACAAGCTCCAAGAAGTGGGTATGGCCGAACTGTCATTGTGAAACTCAACAAGATTTCAATTTCCTCGCCCACAAAGGCTCACTGTCAAAGATGTGGTTCCTTGGAATATGACGTTGGAAAGGGCACAACTGCTTTTGCAACCGACGGGTCAGACTCGGTCAAACGGTCGGTTGGCACACACGCGTCAGGCAATCCAAACATGAGTCGAGTCCAGCCCGACCAAAGAAGGCATGGCCAGAACACTCAGTCGCACTTGGCAATGCGGCTCAACTAGGGTTGCGCCAACTGCATGAGTTGTTTCTTCTTTAACAACTGGTGCTTCGAGTTCCCGCTGTGTGCTTTTCAAGGGGTGCGACGGTAAC